CTTGGGTATGCCTGGGGTTCTTAAGTTGAATCTGTATGTAAGTCAGAACTGGCCTCCAGATTCAGCCGCTGTTGAAACTGATCAGTTTCAGCAGCGGCTGAATCTGGACGCCAGTTCCGACTTACATACAGATTCAACTTAAGAACAAACCTACAGTCCCTATCTTGTATGTAACCCGGGGACTGCCTGTACTTTTAACGGAAAAGTGTTTCTGTTAAAAGTAATTCCGCAAAAGAGCGTCTAAATTGGCACGGATGCTTTTGCGCAAAAGCATCTGTGCCCAGTATAGACATACTTTTGCGCAAGAAAGCTCCGATGGCCATTTTAGCCATCGGGCTTTCTTGAGCAAAAAATTAAGGTACCTGTCTACACTGGCCCTCTTGTGCAAGAATACTTGCGCAAGAGGGATTATCCCTGAGTGGGAGCGTCAAAGTATTTGCGCTAGAAGCACTGAATTCTTACATTAGAATGTCAGTGCTCTTGCGCAAATTCTCGCGGCCAGTGTAGACAGGCAGCAATTTTTTGCACAAAAGCAGCCGCTTTTGCGCAAAATCTTGCCAGTCTAGACGCACCCACAGTGTTTATACTGCCTGACTTTTAAGCAACATGGCTGTGTTGACACAGCTGTTCCACTAAAAGGGGTGTAGTGTAGACCAAGTCTGAATCTCCGTGGCTGCAGACTAAGGCCATTACTTCTTGTCCTGCCTTCAGTGGAGACAGAAAACAATTGATTAGTCTCCTCTTTATGACAGTCCTGAATATATTTGCATGCTATTATCACGGCCACCTAATTTTGTTTTCTCAATACTAAGCATGTCCAGTTTTTTTAACCTTTGCTCACAGGTTTGGTTTTCTAAACCAGTGATTCCCAACCTTTTTTATGAGGTAGACTGGCAAACCCATTCACAAACGTTTGTTAGACTGATAACATTTTATTTGCATGTTTATTGTGCAAATAATGAATATGCAAATAAAATGCTGCCGGTCCGCCTAGCCCCAACCCAATCTCTTGCTCCCTAGTGCCTAGTAGCTTTTGACCCCCACTCCTATGTTCCATGCCCTTTGACCCTTTTACCTCTGACTCCTATAGCCCATGCCAACACCCTCTTGCTTCAAAACCCTGCCATGCCCTCACTCCACCCCACCCCTGAACGCACCAGAGCAAGGCTGCCCCCTCTAGGGAGCATGGCTGTTACTGCTGTGTAGGCAGGGAAATTGGCCTTCCTCCCTCATGTCCCCTTCTTCCCAAGTGTTTTTAGCACCCCCATGGGCAGAGGGGGGAATGCTGAGCCCTGGCTATCTGCCATTATGGGGGGAGGGAGGGAGAAAGGTAGGTGCCTCCTGCTCTGCTTCTTCATGCCACTGCCTCAGCCCCAGCACTGCCACTGGCAAAAATGGCCGCACTAGCGGGGGAGGGGAGAATCCCTGAGAAGGTGCCTCCTGCTCTGCCTCAGCCCCAGTGCTACTGTTGGCAAAAGTGGCCATGCGGGTTGGGAAGAGGAGGAAGCGGAGTCCTGGGGCGGCACCTCCTACTGACATGGGCAAAAGTGGCTGTGTGGGCAGGGGGAGTGACCCTTTCCTCCCCAGCATGTCTCCCCCACGTGCAGAGTGGGGAGGAGGGAGGAAGGTGCCTCCTACTGCTGCTGTCTGAGCCACCACCCAGATGTGAGCTACCGGGAACAGCTGGCTTGAGCTCTGACAGCCCCCATGGCCCAGCAGCAGGCTACAGACTGGTGGTTGGAAATTGCTGTTTTAAACCTTTATCATTGTTGTTGCTCTCCTTTAGATGCTCCAATTTATTCATCTCTTTTCTAAAATGTGGCACACAAAATTGGGCACAGTACTTCAACTGAGGCCTCACTAGTGCCAAACAGAGTGGGACAGTTTCCCCCCATGTCTTACATATCATTCTTGTGTATATTAACAGTTGTGTTATATTAACCTTTTTCAAGGCAGCATCACATTGTTGCATCATATTCAATTTATGATTTACTTCAGATCCTTTTCAGCAGTACTAATACTTTGCCAGTTAATCCCCAATTTGTACTTGTGATTTAATTTGTCCTTCCTAAGTGTAATATACTGCACTTTACTTTATTGAATTTAATTTCATTTAATTCAGACCAATTTTACAATTTTTCAAGGTCATCTTGGATTCTAATTTCAAAGTGCTTGCAACTTCCAGTTTGGTGACTTCTGCAGATTTTAAAAGCATACTCTCCATGCCACTATTCAAGTTATTAATGAAAACACTACATAGCACCAGACCCAGAATTACCCTTGTGGGACTCGATAGAAATACCCTCCCAATTTGATAGCAAACAAATGATAACTACTTTTTGAGTATGGTCTTTTAACCAGTTATAACTCACCTTATAATAATTTAATCTAGCCCATATTGCCACATCTTATTTATGAAAATGTCATGCGGGACAGTGAAAAAAGCCTTACTAAAATCAAGATACTATATCTACTGCTTCCCCCCATCCAATATATCAGTAATCCCATCAAAGAAGGAAATTAGATTGGTTTGGCACACTCTGGTTCTTGACAACATCTCACAAACTGCTTAATATTTTGTTCTAGTATCTTTACAGGTATCCAAATTAGGTATAGATTGGTCTATAATTCCCAAGGTCAACTTTATTCTGTGTTTGATCTTTTCTAGTCCTCTGGGACATCATCTGTCCTCTAGGAATTCTCAAAAGGTAAATCCTGAGATTGCTTCAACTATTTCCTGAAGTACCCTATGATGAATTTCACCAGACCTTGATGACATTGATACATTTAACTACCGTATATTCCGGCGTACAAGACGACCTCTGATGTTAAAAAACATCCCCCAAAAATCGGGGGTCGTCTTGTACGCCGGGTATACATCCCAGGCGCGCCTGGGATGCCCCCCCACCGGAGCTCCTCCATGGCCTCCCCCGCGGCTCTGCAAAGCCGCGGAGGGGCTCCGGCG